AGGAGACCCAGCCCCAGCCTGTGGGGAGCCACTTGTCCTTCTGCTCACCCTTCTGCCCCGGGCTTGGGGCACACTGCACCCCCCTGGACAGACCAGACGCCTGCCCAAGCTGGGCACGGCAAACAATATTAATAATGCAAGGATTAGTGGCTATAGTGCCAAAACAGGCATTACTGAGTAATGTGCCGAAGCAGATACATGACAACATTACCGATTTCCAAGGCCTAGAAAAGAAAGGACGTTAATCGTACCCTCGTTTCTATTGCCTATCGCTGTAACAGCGACTGCAGGACGGTAACAGAGAGAGATTGCAACAAAAATGGGAATCATGGCAAATACAAATCACCTTACCCTGTTTCTTGCCTTTATCCTCTTGTAAACAAAATCGGGGAAGGTCTTTCTCGGAATGAAGCGCCCGGAGCCCTGGGTGACACACAGGCTCCCACCCTCAAGAACAACTCTTCCCTGACTGATGACCACAGTGGGAACGCCGTGGCACTCCGTGCCTTCAAAGATGTTGTACTCCACATTCTGGAAAGAACAAACCAAGATGTTCAACACAGTTAAGATTTAAGGAGAGGGAGTGACAGTCCAGCTGACTATACGCGCCCTCTCTTCTTGTACAAATCAGTTGTACTGCACTAGCCCTTCGTATTTCAGACAATAAAGGTTTTTGTAATGGGGTGAGCTAAAGCAAACTGGAATGGAGAAACGAAATCCTCCAAACGCTCAGCGCTGCCCAGAAGGCATGCAGCACTCCGGGAGCAAACTCAGCTTCTGCTACACACGAACAATTAATTCTCTCTTGGCCCCTCAGGAGCTCTACTGAAGTTCTCCGTTCAGGGACAGGAGCTCTTGTCATGTCTTCAAGTCACTTCAACTCTTCTACCAAAACAGATATGGGAAGTCAGCTTTGTTTTGTGGAAAATGCAAGCTCAGGACACTTGCTATGGCTAATAAACTATCCAAATTTTACAGTGAAAAAATGTGGCGTTATGAAAAATCACAAGTGAATTTCCTGGACCAAAAGAAAACCCATTTCTGTTTTCTTTTTAAGAAATTACGTTAATATTTCAATCACAATTTTCTTCAATAGAAAATATTTTTGGTGAAAAAAAAAACCCACATGGGTCAAATTGTTTCTACATTAACTTCAGTCGGGTGTGGTGCCAATACTCCTCACACCTCACCCCTTCCCTCTTCTTCAAGTGCAGCTTTTTGCGTTGGAAACGAGTTTGGTGACATCCCTGGCCTAGCAAACCACAGAGCCTGTGCAGGGACAGGTCTGGCTCTTCAGCAAGGCCGCTGATATATTAAACTATATTAATAGTTTCAACTATATTAATAAATATCGATAAGAAAAAATAAACTATACCAATACTTTATATTCATATATTATATTAATATTAAACTGTATTAGTACTAAACTATATGAATACATTAAACTGTATGAATAGTTTAATATATTCACAACAGTAATAGTTTAATACTTAAGTTCAGCACTTAGTCCACAGCAAATATATTGCTCTTCAAATTTCTGTACTGGACACAGACTCTCTCAGAGCAGTCACTGCTACGCGGTCACTGCGACCCTTTACAGTAACTAACGGGGATTTTCATTTGCTTGTCTTTTAAAAAGCAGGTGCAAGGCTCTTCATCCCCTTGCCCACATGAACAGCCCCTCCCTCGCTCAGGGATCTGATCTCTCTGGTCTGAAGAAAG